CCAGAACAGTCAATATATATAATAATATTTGTTAGGATTTTATAAATGCAAATGTGAGTTTATCTGTTTGTTCATCGGCTTTTCAAGTGTTAACTGCTCAATCAGTTAATATTTAATTTTGTATTGTTGAGACGTTTAAAATCGGCATAGTCCGCAACAAAACTGGCGCATTTATACTATCTTCATTCAACTTACTAACTAGACTAGAGCGGTTGATGACAGAACGCCTAGTTTTACACACGACAGTTGTAAGCAATATCGTAAACATTGAAAAGAGATGCCAGGTAGGGACTGCAGCGGGCACTAATCAACAAAAAGGAATAACATTACATCAATTAATTTATAACAGAAAGATGCAGACAAGCAAAAGTTGAGCGTGTTGCCAGCATTCGGTTTCAAGGAAAGTTCAACATTCAATGATTGACGCAGTAGAAAGTTCTTACTAGTCAATATTCTATTCAAACTATCCAAAAAAAATACTTTTGGGTGTTTCTTTACCACCAGCCAGTAATGCTGGTGAGCGGGCAGTCCCTCCGGACTACGCCGGAAGGTAGGGCGGAAGGCCCTCTTCAGCCTGCTTTCAGGAATCGTGGGAATGGGTTGGTGGTGGTTCAGGTGAGAAAGATGAGACGGACGAAATGAAGACAGAAGAGAATGAAAGATTATCTGTGAAATATTACTGCCTTAGCATTTGCCTAAGTGATCCAAGGAAACCACAGAAAAACTTGGACCAAGGCAGACGGACCCGGAATCGAACCGGCATCCTGCCGAATGCTAAGCAATGGTCTAAACATCTAGGGCATGCCGCTCGGTCCAAACTGTCCATCAATCTACCTATTTCAATTAAACAGCGCTAGTATAATAAATACAGACAACGTGGTGAACACCATCTGTAGAAAGTGGACAGGTACTTATTGTGGAGTTAAATAATTTTCGATAAGACCCTTTTCTAATACAGGCATCGACTTGTTAACTTCATTGGCACTAAATTATACTTTAAGAATTGGAATTATTTGAATATTTGTCAAAATAATTTTCATTTACCTCCGCATCGACGTAATAATTGATCAGCCGATGGAGTTTCACACAATCACTCAACCGGCCAGTCCAACCCTGTGCCTAATCACTATTATGATTATAACAATTGTCTAAGTAGGTTTATTTCTGTGAACAAAATCGTTATATCAAAAAGTCATTAGTTAGGTGTTTGTCAAATATTTTATTTGTCATAAACTTATACCCTGTTTTATATAATTTTTTAGAAAACTGATCATTACAAGCTATAAATTCTCAAGTTGTGTCGTCATGTAATTGACTTATTCTTCAACTGCGTATAACAAATTGTCTTTGAAGTGTAGATAACCTATGGTAACATTTTTAGTAAATTGTACACACCATTTAACGATTTTTCTGCAAAATTCGTTAATATTGTTAAGTGAAATAGATTCACCGAGGTTTCATATCCCTAGACCTAATGCATTGTTAAGAAAACTCTATATAATAGTTAGGTTAAATATCAATAAAACAAATTTTATCAACCGTCAACCCAAACTCACGTGCGCAGGATTATGGAAGCAGAGAAAGTATTTTCAACAGGTTAAACATATCGAGTATGTTAACTTTAAAAAATGGGATTATTTTAATGTCAGCAGGTTGGTTGATGAGAAAAACAAAATGACTTCTAATGTATCAAGTAAAACGGATACCCATAATCAAAACAATCCAAAGGTAAATATTGCTAATGTTTATAAATTCTCTGTTAAGGAAAAATCTTATAATCATAATTACCCGCTTCTATTTGTTGTATTTTATTAGATAATTATTCATAGGTGGTTTTTCAGACAAAAATCAGTCCAAAAAGCTTTTTATCTATGCACTGGATACGATTTCTTTTAAGGCAGCAAACAACGAGCATACTATACGGTTGTTCGGAAAGTCATTTCGTTTTTTCCCGACAGAGGATTTAATTGTATTCTTTTGCACCCAACTTCACATTTAAGCCGTATAATTTTTATATGCTTTGAGAGCTCATATAGCAAGGCTTGTGTGTGAAAAATTCCAATTAATTCTACGCAGTAGTTTTTGGTTGGTGCCCTTTTAAATATGGAGAGCGATAAGCAGCATTTTCGACATATCTTACTGTTTTACTACAGAAAGGGTAAAAATGCTGTTCAAGCCAGAAAGAAATTGACTGATGTGTATGGAGAAGGTGTGTTGACAGTACGCCAGTGCCAGAACTGGTTCGCTAAATTTCGATCCGGCAATTTTGATGTCGAAGATGCACCACGTTCGGGAAGGCCGGTTGAAGCTGATAAAGACGCGATAAAGGCATTAGTTGATGTGAACCGGCGAATAACAACACGTGAGATCGGATTGAGGTTAAATTTATCAAATTCAACAGTTTATGACCACTTGAAAGGCCTGGGATTATCCTCGAAGCTCGATGTATGGGTTCCCCATGTTCTCACAGAGAGAAATCTGTGTCGCCGCATTGACGTCTGCGATTCGCTTCTCAAACGTCACGAAAATGATCCGTTTTTGAAGCGCATCATCACTGGGGACGAAAAATGGGTTGTATACAACAACGTCAAACGCAAGAGGTCATGGAGCAAAAAAGATGAACCGGCTCAAACCATTTCCAAAGCCGATATTCACCAAAAAAAGGTGATGCTGTCTGTTTGGTGGGATTTTAAAGGAATCGTTTTTTTTTAGCTTTTACCGGATAACACAACGATTAATTCGGAAGTCTACTGTCATCAGCTGGACAAACTGAATGATGCACTTCAACAGAAAAGGTCAGAACTAATCAACAGGAAAGGTGTAGTGTTTCACCAAGACAACGCGAGACCTCACACAAGTTTGGTCACTCGCCAAAAGCTTTTACAGCTTGAATGGGATACAATGCTACACCCACCATATTCTCCAGACCTGGCACCATCGGATTATTATTTGTTCCGGTCACTCCAAAATTTTTTAGACGGTAAAACCTTCACCTCAAATGAGGAGGTCAAAAACCTCCTCGATCAGTTTTTTGCCAGCAAAGACCAAAAATTTTATGAGCGTGGAATTATGCTACTACCAGAAAGATGGCAAAAGGTGTTGGACCAGAACGGTCAATATATAATTTAATAAAGTATTTGTTTATTATACGAAAACTGTCTTTCATTTCCACAAAAAAAAAACGAAATGACTTTCCGAACAACCCTATATTTTACTGTAGGTATGACCCTATCGTGTAATACACTTATCTAAAAGTTATACTTGCTGCAAGCCCCAGTCGTATTTTAGTAATGCAGTGTAAATTAGGTTTAGTTGGGATGTTCAAAACTGACATAGTTCGCAATAAAACTGTCGCATTTAGTTTTTTCTTTCAGTTTTTCTAGCTAGACTACAGCAGTTACTAACAGAACGTCTACTTTTACTCACGGCAGACGTTGTAGGGAATATCGTAAGCATAAAAGAGATGCCAGGTAGGAATTGCAGCGGACACTATTAATGAAAAAGGGATAAGATGTAGCGATCGGTAGGGTTTGATGTATCATTATTGTGGACTTTAAGGATAGTGAGAAGTGTGTTCGGACATTTGTTGTGCGATAGTGGTGTTGGTGAAATTTAGATTGGGTTTAGGCACTGGAAGGAACGAACAGGGTGATCGATCGGTGAAGAAGGTTCGAGAAAGAGGAAGGGTGGTGGAAGTTGAAGTTGCCAGTTGGTGCGTTTTTGGAGTTGAAATTATAAAACCAGTGATTTTCGGTGAACTGCAAATATGTCCATTTTATTTCTAAAATATATCAACAAATAAGGTTCCAAGTTAAGCTTTCCAGGAGTATTGATATAATATTAATAATTTCTGAAAAGAAATAAATTAAATCAAGTTTTCAACTGAAGACACAGTCGATTTCGCTGCAAGGGCCTCAACAGGTCCGACCAGTAAATTTTTCTATATTATAATTTTTATTTTTNTTTTATTTTATTTTCTTTTGAGTTCGATATTTCTGCATTAAAATTTTTAAATATGAAGTTATGATATGTCTTCCGTGAACTGTAATTGAACCCATTTGAATTTTACACGTTATAAACATTACACCAATTTATGCTGTGTAACAGACAGAGATGCAGACAAGTAGAATTTGAACATCTTGCCAGCATCGGACTTTAAAAAGAGTTTAACATTCTCAGGAATTTAGGAAAGCAAAGACGCTTGTTTAAAGATATAATTCCAACCAGGTGGTTATAAAGCCGATCCTGGTCTTTTGCATACCTAAGTGCAGAACCTCTTACCGCTGCACCGCTTACTATTGTTCGGTTGTCTCTTCATTTTGCCTGTATTACTTATGAAACATTTTCTAACTTAACAAGGGCATGTTCAAAACACAGCTAATGACTACTGTCTCAAGTGGAAACAAGAAAGAAGATATGTCCATTCTCATAGATATTTTGTTGCAGACTTTGCCAATTTTGATCGTCCCAACCATAACTTTGAATTTAATATTTCAACAAAAATTTTGCTGTGTCATTTGCCAAGGAACGTTTCACGCTAACTATGGTTCAAAATCTCCATAGCTCCCGAACTGTGCACATATAAATGCATCTGAGGATGAGATTGCAGTTATGAAGTAGGCAAAGCTCTATGATGTATGAGGACCATGGCTAAATTGTTAGAATCAAAAACTATGGCTAAATTAAATTTGTACTCGATAACTTCATGATGCATTATTCATTATATCCAAAAATGAAGACATTAAGCAACTTTATAGTATCTGCGATTTGTCACTCAAGATTGAAACACAACAGAAATTAGCAATCACTTGCTCACATGATAAAAGTAAAACTGAAATTCCGTTATATAGCAACTAAGAGTCTAATTACAGATCAAACTAGCAACAAAAAAAACTACTTTAAATTCAATACCCCAAATAGTCACAATAAAGGAAAAAAGTATATCGAGAAACTTTCAACATCTTTTACCAGAACCAATGCCGTTTTAAACAAGGTCTCTATCTATCAAAATCATCAAATACTTGAATCAGCGAACAAATTTCACGACCGAATGTGATTCGCAAATCAATCCTTATAACATTATTGCTTGCTCTTACTGAATTTTTGTTGGATCACAAAGAAAGTATCATTACTAGCAGGCTATAACGTCTTTAGATCCGATAGAAACCTTGAAGCTGCGAAGAAATCAATAGGTTGTGATGTTTATATCACTGTTAATAGTGACCTCAGTGCTACTTTTATAAGCGATCAACTATACTGTAGACGATCAGATAGATCTACTAATTTGTATGAATAATTTCACCTCATTTAGATCATTATTAGGGTGGGTGCGCTTGGCACGGAACGTGAAACTCCTAAAGGAGTGGTATGTCGTCGAATATCAGATGAGAAAGAATAGACTGCAAGTGAAAATGCAGACAACAGCGAATCGACATTTTGAAAGTGAACTAACCGAGTTAAAGTGCAAGATAGATCAGATTCATGCGAAAGGCATCAACAAGGAGAAAATACAATTACAGAAAGCATTAGAAAATAACATAAAAGAGAAACAGCGTTTATCTATTAAGGTAAACAAATTTGAAAAATAGAATAATCAGCTTCTGATAGAAACGGAATGCTTCAAGAACGAGAAAATGCAATTATAGATGCTTTAGAAATCCGACTAGACGAACCAGCGTTACTCTAATAAGATCAAAGAATTTGAAAAAGAGAGAGATCAGCTTTGTGTGAACTAAAATGTTTCAAGAACGAAAAAATACAATTTCAGAACGTTTTTAAAAACGCATTAGAAGAGAAACAATATTTACTAATAGAATAAACAAACTCTAAAAAAAGAGGAACATCTAAAGGTGAATGGCAGTGGTAAATATATTCATCCAGTTGCAGTAAAAGTACAGTTTGGTCGGGAGTTGCGACCACGACATAATCTGAAGTGAATAAATCATGTGGATGATCACCAAACGCGACAATATTCCAGATAATATATATTTACATATGCAAACCTCAGGTGATTATATGAAACACATCTATGATATACGGGCCACGAATATAATACTCCAGGAAGGAGACCTCATGTGTCTATACAACATATTGGGAAGGTCCATGCGATGTCGCCAAGCGAATTGGAATGGATAACCGAAAGTTGTCCATACAACTGTAGAACGTTCTAAAAACGTATAAGAAGAGAAACAGTGACAGCAACATATGAAGGTGAATAGATCATTTGTCCGAACTATGAGCATTTTCAAGTGGTAAATACATAAAGTTAAAATTTGGTCGGGAATTGCGACCACCACGTAAGCTGAAGTTAGTAAATCATGTGAACGAACGGAACGCGACAATATTCCTGAGAATATATGTTTCCATATGCAAATCTCTGGTGATCATATGAAAGACACCTATGATATAAAGGCCACGCATGGAAGAATCCAGGAAGGAAACTTCGTGTGACTATACAACCTACAGCATCAGTGGGGTCTATTACCGTAGCTGCTACAGCATTAGGAAGGTCCACACTAATGTCGCCAAGCGAATAAATAGTGTCACCTACCGGATTTGACGTACATGGAATGGAAAACCGAAAGTTGTCCATACAACTGCAGAACGTTCTAAACAACGTATTAGAAGAGAAACAGTGTTTGCCTAACAGAATAAACAAATTCGAAAACAACAAGCAACATCTGAAAGTGAATAGATCATTTCTCCGAGCTATCAGCATTTTAAAGTGGTAAATATTGTCGAAAAGGTAAAATTTGGTCGGGATTTGCGAGCACACGTAAGCTGAAGTTAGTAAATCGTGTGAACGAACGGAACGCGACAATATTCTTAAGAATATATGTTTCCATATGCGAATCTCCGGTGATCATATGAAAGACACCTATGATATAAAGGCCACGCATGGAAGAATCCAGGAAGGAAACTTCGTGTGACTATACAACCTACAGCATCAGAGGGGTCTATTACCAAAGCTGCTACAGCATTGGGAAGGTCCATGCAATGTCGCCAAGCAAATAAATAGCGTCATCTACCGGATTTGTCCTACATGGAATGGAAAACCGAAAGTTGTCCATACAATTGCAGAACGTTCCAAAAAACGTATTAGAAGAGAAACAGTGTTTGCCTAACAGAATAAACAAATTTGGAAACAACAAGCAACATCTAACGCGACAATATTCCTGAGAATATATGTTTCCATATGCGAATCTCTGGTGATCATATGAAAGACATCTATGGTATAAAGGTCACGGATGGAAGTCTCCAAGAAGGAGACCTCGTGTTGCTATACAAGCCACAGCATCAGTGGGGTCTATTACCGAAGCTGCTACAGCATTAAGAAGGTCCACACTAATGTCGCCAAGCGAATAAATAGTGTCATCTACCGGATTTGACGTACATGGAATGGAAAACCGAAAGTTGTCCATACAACTGCAGAACGTTCTAAACAACGTATTAGAAGAGAAACAGTGTTTGTCTAACAGAATAAACAAATTCGAAAACAACAAGCAACATCTGAAAGTGAATAGATCATTTCTCCGAGCTATCAGCATTTTAAAGTGGTAAATATTGTCGAAAAGGTAAAATTTGGTCGGGAATTGCGACCACCACGTAAGCTGAAGTTAGTAAATCATGTGAACGAACGGAACGCGACAATATTACTGAGAATATATGTTTCCATATGCGAATCTCTGGTAATCATACGAAAGACACTTATGATGTAAAGGCCACGGATGGAAGAATCCAGGAAGGAAACTTCGTGTGACTATACAACCTACAGCATCAGAGGGGTCTATTACCAAAGCTGCTACAGCATTGGGAAGGTCCATGCAATGTCGCCAAGCAAATAAATAGCGTCATCTACCGGATTTGTCGTACATGGAATGGAAAACCGAAAGTTGTCCATACAATTGCAGAACGTTCCAAAAAACGTATTAGAAGAGAAACAGTGTTTGCCTAACAGAATAAACAAATTTGGAAACAACAAGCAACATCTAACGCGACAATATTCCTGAGAATATATGTTTCCATATGCGAATCTCTGGTGATCATATGAAAGACATCTATGGTATAAAGGTCACGGATGGAAGTCTCCAAGAAGGAGACCTCGTGTTGCTATACAAGCCACAGCATCAGTGGGGTCTATTACCGAAGCTGCTACAGCATTAAGAAGGTCCACACTAATGTCGCCAAGCGAATAAATAGTGTCATCTGCCGGATTTGTCGTACATGGAATGGAAAACCGAAAGTTGTCCATACAACTGCAGAACGTTCTAAAAAACGTATTAGAAGAGAAACACTGTCTGCCTAACAGAATAAACAAATTTGGAAACAATAAGTAACATCTGAAGGTGAATAGATCGTTTGTTCGAACTGTCAGCATTTTAAAATAATGACCCAGGGAGTGGCAGTGGCATATATTCTCATCCAGTTGCTGTAAAGGTAAAGTTTGGTTGGGAGTTGCAACCACCACGTAATATGAAGTGAGTAAATCATGTGAACGAATGTATGTATCCATATGCAAATCTCCGGTGATCATATGAAAGGCTACGGATGGAAGACTCCAAGAAGGAGACATCGTGTGGCTATACAACCCACAGCATCAAAGGGGTCCATTGCCGATGCTGCTACAGCATTGGCAAGTTCAATACAAAGTCGCTAAGTCGACCGAATGCTGACCACTCATACGATGAAATTAGCCAAGGATGAAACGAAGCATGTTGGAGATTCTGTTTCGGAATACTGGGGTAGAAATTTTTGTATATATCGTTAATCTCTGTAATCTAAATAAATTCTAGTTTCAAATAATCGACTTCGAATCGAATCATTTTAATTTATAAACAAAAACAGGTGAACTGCACCTTCATGCAAACTGTCCATGAAAATAGGCTCGAGTAGGTAGGAAAATGTTTTGATTGATTTTTATCTGGAACCCCTTTTATGCAGAACTATCCTTTATTGGAGTTAGGTTTTCTTATATTTGCAGAATCGTAGGAAAGAATCAAATGTACTCAATAAATTTGGCTGAATGTTTTCTTTTTCTTATTCTTATTCTTATTTTAGGTATCTGATATTAAATGCACCGACGAAAGAAACAAAGCGTCTAAATCAAGCTCCAGCAGTCGATCCACGGTATCTACAAAACATTTCAAAAGCAAAATACCAGTCTCAAAATTTCGTCCATCACCCACAAGCTCAAGAGAGAGTTTTTCAATCCAAAATCGAAAATTCAAAAAGGTAATAACATGTTTCGATGAGGAAAGTTGTTCATTTGTAGTTTAAATAATTATGTTCAAAAATGAAACGGCGGTGACCAAACATTACTATAAGAATGTTGCGAAGAATAGATTAAATAAATAAAACATTCTCAATACACTATATCTTTTTAGTATTTCAGAATACATGAAAAGTAACATTTAGATACAGTGTAGAATGCATCTCGTAATAGCACCACAACGTAGGGGGTGTAATAACTATATACAAAAAGCACCTCAGTTAACGAGGCGTTAATGATTGAGGACTGTTGCCAGTTTTGCAGTCGCGTTATCTTATCGCTCTGTTATCGCAAGCGTCAAGTGACGAAACACTCACACCTATTCGTAACCTTAGCAACAGCTGGTACACAGACTGGTCAATAGCACGTATAACGATTGTTAGCAGTAGCCTGCACTTCGTAGCTACTCTTACACAGCTGGCGTATATCAATTTGATGTTGCTTTGGGGGCTGTTTTGTCGTAATTCATAGAATTTCATAGTTCCTTCCTGATTCGGCAGGTGCTGATGTTAATTTGTAACTTCAAAATTCCATAGACAATGACATTAAACCCGGAAATAGAATTTTTTGGGCTCTCTTCACTTAAAGAATTAGAAAGCATTCATGGAATGTCTTTTTGTCTCCTTTTTAAGTTTCTAATACCTTCAATAGCCAAGTGAGCAACTTTGCTTCATCATTTTATATGTTTTATCGGTGATACGAGCAAAAATTTTAAAGGCAAAAACATATTTTGCATTGCAAATAGAAAATATATTTGGAAAAGTAGTTTAAATAAAATACAAAATGCTTTTTGAGAAAACATGATAAATATAAGTATTTTTTATTTTATACTTCCATTTTAAATGCATGTATTTAAAGTAAGTATATTAAATCAATACAAAGCAACTTGTTCATCATCATCTTAAGGTCATCAGTCCTAAGACTGGATGGACACGTACCTCCACTCTTTCTTTACGTCGAAATTATTTTATGAGAAATGTTAAACGAATAAAGTTGCGAATTTGTATTGCAGGATTTAAATTCGAAAATAGGATCCATGAAATCTGGAAGAGTATACAAGAAACGTGTCAGTTCAGATAGTTCCGACACAGACACCAAAAATCGTCATCCACTGAAAGGTTTTCCTAAACAGTCGGCGTCTAAGAAACCAAGAATTGACGGTAAATCTTCTGAAGGAGTGTCTGAAGCTTACAGGTAAAAAATAATATCAGTAAAGTGCATTTGTCTCCCAAGAACAGACTAATGGAATAACTTGATCACAATAAATTCCTTATTACTATTCTATCGAAACTGTTGGGCGCGAACCGTGGTTGCGAACATGTTGGTTCTGAATCCATTTCTGTGATTTCTGCAGTTACATATTTAATAACTTCATAGTTAAAGTATTAAAACGAGGCTATGGAGAGTGATGATACTTTTATTTCAAGACACACAAACGTGTTAGACAAAGCCATGCTGATGCAGATGATAGTCACCAGGTGCTAAATCTGGTGAATAAGGCGGATAGAAAAATAATTCGAACTTCAGTTCGTTGATTTTAATCACATTGTCATGGTGGAATAAAGTTTTTCAATATTGTCTGATGTGATCATTTTCTTCCTACTTCGTTATTCAAACTCTGTCGTAAGATTAAGTAGTACCTGTCATTACTAATTTCATCCTACTGGGGGTAACAAATACTTATAGTTTGTGTATCGTAGAAAATAGTTATCCAAAATTTATTTGCTGGCAATAAGGTTTCTGCCTTCTTTAAGGTACGTTTACGTAGCTCTGTCAGTTGTTTTGAATATTGCTTACTTTCAGCATCTAAATCTCATCTAAGGTTATGAATCAATGTAAAAATTACTTAGAATTCCATTTCTCAGTTGCTGCAGAACTTCTCCGCAGAATGATTATGCAACATTTTACACATGTTCAGTTGACATTTTAATACTCAACCATTTTGATTTGCGATCCTCAAGTACCATTTTATGGAATTTATATATCATTTCGAAAGGTGTGACCTCAACCAATTAAGGGTTGGTTTTTAAATTCATAAACGTAGTAGTTTATCCAATATGATTTGAAATGGAGTTAGCCTGAGGCTTTTCCAATTTTTTCAATTTTACGGAAATGACAAAGATGTCTTCCTTAACACCTAGTCGTCATGGATGTATACACTTTCTTACTTTTAAAACTAATATTGTAGATTGTGTTTCCATATGTTACATTGTTTAGAAATGTAATTTGAAGTAGCAATTTAAAACAAAGACCCCCAAAAAATGATCCTATTGTACGTTATCCATCTCATGAATTTTTACTGACCATAAACGTCCAACCTACGGTAGAACTACGATATACATATTACACAATAACCCTAAGGCTACAAAGAATTTTTATAAGTTAACGGACCGTTTTCATTGCACTGCTTTTAACGCAATCAAATTGCTCATTAAATTCATTTGTCAATGAATCAATCTAATTGTAAGCTAATATCAAGTAAGACAATGTATATACTTACAAACTGTTTAAATTCTTACAGAAATAAACGTTTTGATATAACAGAATCTGAATTTTCTGAAGCATCCGAATGTAATTATGAAAAACACTGTTTATGCAGCGCTAAAGTCAACGAGACTTTGTTGGAAGAATCCGCTTCTCAAGAAAAGAAAGAAACCAAAGAAGTGAATTTATTCCCCCAAATATTTCAGATATATTGTTCTGAAAGTACCACTCATGCTTTGCCTGAACTTCACAAAAGTTCCGCTGACCTAGGAAATCCGTTCCTGAAGGTAGTTAACCTTAATAACCCTATAGTGATGGAAGATTTCAGAATGTGGTCTTATAAAAGAAAAACCATTAAATCTCATTTCTTTCTATGTTAATTTTAACAAAATCCCTTGTGCTAATGTATTTATGAGTTAGCATAACCGCAATCACATAATGTAAACAATAAGAAAGTTTAAGTGAATTTAAAGACAAAGGTTCCTTGATAGTAGTATACATGGTGTAATAGAAGTTAGTGCGGAGCTTGGAAGTAAAAGGGAACTATAAGACAAGAAAATTAACTAAATGTTTGTATTTTCTAAAGTTTACCGTACTTGAGGAAAACGTAGTTGAAAGCACATGCAAATGCAATTCCCGCCCTGATAAAGAAATACAGCAACGCAACATCGCTTCAATCAGCTGATAATTAGCAGATTTTTTTGCATGTGTTTTCCGTTACTAGTTAGATTAAATTATAAATGATTGAAGGTGTACCTATTTAGTCTATTGATCTGCATTTCAATAAATTAATTCACTGAGTGGCAGGGACTAGAGGTTTAGACCATTGCTTAGCATTCGGAAGAACGCCGGTTCAATTCCGTCTGCCTTGGTCCAAGTTTTTCTGTGGTTTCCTTGGATCATTCAGGCAAATGATGAGACAGTAATATTCCACAGATAATATTTCATTCTTTTCTGTCTTTATTTCGCCCATCTCATTTTTCTCACCCGAACCACCACCCACCCATTCCTACGATTCCTCCGCCCTACCTTCTAGCGTAATCCGGAGGGACTGCCCGCCCACCAGAATTACAGACTGGAGTAGGTTAGTACGTGTGGTGGAGCAATTGCTGTTAGAATGATATGATATAATATTTACCGGTTTGAACCGTATCGCCATTAAAGTGAACAAAATCCTTAATTTCAAAGAAAACAACCCCTAAAATAGTACACGCGAAATAGCAGGGAATATCGGACTCTTCTCACATGACGGTGTGCCAAATATTAAACAAACGATTGCTGCATCCTCGTCATTTGCAGCGACAGCGACCCTTTTTTAAAAACGGTTTTCGGTTGTGGTGTGTGGTGCGGAATTTTAGGTGAGTTGCCTTTTTTACAAGAGAATACCGAATGTACTTGAGGATGTGACATTGCAACATGGTAGCACACCCCATCACACTATAAGATCAATGCGTGAGTTTCTTGATGAGCTGTTTCCTGGACGGTGGATTGGGTTATTTGTAAGGGGGGTCTATGATCGCTGCAAATGAAATATGCCAAATGCAGGACGTTTTTGGGCATTTCGGTGACCGTCTCGGATCCTGTCTTCTAGCGCGGGGTTCTAATTTCGAACAATTTTAGTAGTGACCGTATGCGTGTAGGTATGTTTAATGATGAAACCAATAATAATTAATTTTTTCTAGTGGAAAAAACGTAACGCGCCTGGCAGTACGTCATCCTTGTGAAAATTTGCAAAATTATAATTATTATTATTATTCTTTTGTCTTCTCAATACACGTTAAGGATTAATGTACACAGTTGTGCATGCTACAGAGACGGTCAAATCTACTCCTTATTTTATCGTGATAGGCATATAAACATTATGTGTAGTAATAAACACTTTGTTTATTTAAGACATTCCTTAACGGACTGTTTCATTCTCCAACGGTGTAGCTGCTGTTGCCAATTCACGCACAGGGCCGGCGTCAAATTGTAATTTGTTGTGATTTTCTTAAAAAAATCTTTAACCCTAACCACGTTACTAAACTCATCATGCGATTCCTTATTGCTTCTAATTTACACCTTTCAAAGTTCTTCACTCATTTCTCTTACGCCATGTATATAGGTTGAAAACTTGAGTAAATCAAATACTTATTAAGAATGGCAAAGTACTTACATACAGATCATACCGGTCAAATATACCTCATCTGTCAACTAAACCCTAATTGTAGAGTTGTTTAAATGATAGAAGCGTGGATAGTTCTTTCCTTCTAGACGCTTACGAATACTTTAAATGTACAAAAGTAAAATAAATCTGATAAATTCAAAATTCTCTTTTGAATTATGGTCTTTCCAGAATATTATCAAATTATAATTAAACAGAGAAGTCCATGGTAGTCAATTTTCTGCCGAAACATAGACCCAATTCTACCTGCTGCCTTACTGAGACAGCGATTTATGAAATCTTATAAACGACGCGGTAAGCGCCCTCTGCAGTACAATGCTACATTTAGAAGAATTCAATATGCTCAACAGGTCAATTTACACAAATGGATATCTTGAATCCACGGTATAGCTCACCATACGTGATAAGCACGTTTCGAAAATTGAATAAAGAAGTGATCACCAGGGCGACGCCCTGATGAGATCCAACACGATCGAAATCGCAATCCGCTTCTGGTAGTTTCTACAAAATACTGATCACCATGAATTTCTTTGTTCCATTTTGGTAACGTACCTATCATATATGGTGAGTTACGCCGTGGATTCAGTTCAGTAAATAGTTATCCGTTATACTACAGATGGCGTTTGACGCGCCGTTTGTAGAATGCCATAAAACGCTGTCATAAGGCATCAGTTTAAGTTGGTCTGTGTTCTGTGTAACACAATGCATATGACAGTACTGGAAAGACTACAGAACACTTCATTGACTTAAAAGTTAAACGAAAATTAAAATAATGTACGTCAAACAAGATAATATAAATAAGAATTTTACATATCTCACAAATGATATATTTTAGACATTGAAATATCATACATGCTGCTCTAGAATAAAAAATTGAATTGGCATAGTTTTAAAAACCTTGCAAAGTGATTCTTTAATTTGTCATCAATTTTGTAGTCGCTTTTTTTTTGTTTTATGTATTCTGAACAATTTTTAGGAGGCCGATAAGAATTCTGAGTTTGATTTGCAACTAAATGTGGATAAACAATGTATTTCAGACTTGTACAGCACAATTTGTAATCAACAAGCCTTAAGGGAGAAACAGCTTGAACTGGCTTCACCGGAATACCTTCACAACAGTATTTGCAAACTTAATAATACAATAAAGGTGGTACGTAACCAAATAATTCTATTCATTATCCTTTTCAATAATAATTTCACTTATTTAAAAATAGTTGGTTTTTCTATAGTTTTTGTTGACCAACTTGCTAATTAACCGATATTTAGGGTGTTTCTAAAGTATTACATATAAATTTAATTAAAAATACTCCTCAGATTACAAAGAACGACGATCGCAATCATACCAATAATGTCAAATAATAGCTGTCCTCTTTTTCATCATTTATTAGCATTCGCTCACATCTTCACTCATTTGAAATAAAACATTCAACATGTACTTAATTCTCTACAAAATCAAGTGACACCGGAACACATACTAATAAACCGCGGTTTGGTAAATAGGTTAAAAAAAATGTACCTACACCTATAACACATGGTTGAAATATAGATATAAAACTTTTTTTTTTTTCGATATTTTTACTTCATTCAAGTACCTTGTACTATTTTTTTCGTCAAAAGGTCAATTTATGCGTTGAAGGAAGGGTCAATTTATACATTGCAGAAAGGGTAAGCTCTCGAGTTTTCATAACTCAAAACTATCAACACTATTTTCTTTAATTTAAGTTTAAGTGATGACAAACTCGCATGTATGACCGAAAATTTCAGTATTTAAGTGTGCGTACATAGGATTTGTAGATTTAGAAAAAGCTTTTGATAATGGCAAATGGGACAAGGTGTTAAATATACTTAAACATATAGGGATGAGTTACAGAGATAGAAGAGCGATACTTAGTTTGTATAAAGAGCAACAGACAGTTATAGAGCTGAAGCAGCAACGTAGAGAAGTAAATATTAGGAAGGAAGTTAGACAGGGATGCACACTGTCACCGCTGCTTTTTAATCTATACATCGAAGACGCGATCAACACCATTAAAGACAGTACAACTTAAGGGATAAATATACAGGAGCAAAAGATTAGTATGCTTAGATTTGAGATGATATAGAAGTGTTAGCATCTAGCAAGGAGGAGTTGGGGATAGGTTTAAATAAAATGGAAGCGGTATTGACAAAACAGTACTGTATGAAAATAAATAAAAGTAAAACAAAGATACTGGTATCTATGTAAAGAGAGAAAAAGTAGGGAAGAGCGAATATAAAGGTAGGAGACGAAGGATTAGAAGAAGTGGCTGATTTTAGGTATCTAGGAAGTCAGATAGGTCAGAACCGAAGGAGTAATAGGGATATAAAGTAGAGGATTGCGCAGGGTCAAGTCGCCTTCAATAAAAAAAAGTCACTTCTGTGCCCACGAACGGTTAATTTAGAAATTCAAAAAAGGTTGTTAAAGGTACATGTTTGGAACGCGGCGTTGTATGGGTGCGAAACATGAACGGTGGGCGCGGCGGAAAACAAAAGGTTATATGCGTTCGAAATGTGATTTTACAGGCGAATGATGAGGATACCGTATGTTGAGTGTCAACGTTCTGTATCTATTTTTTCGTTATAGCTTTTAGTTGTAATTTTGTAATTGGTATTCGTAGCTACTTAAAATATGTTACTTTTACTTTAAATGATGTTTATGACTATCTTATTTCGTTTACTTTGCAAACAATTAGTTTACTATAGGTACCTTTTCCATTGTATATTTGTATATTGATTTTTAATGATAGGTGTGTCATTAGGGGTTTATCCCAACATCTTTGTATTTCAAATACTTCGTATTCCTTACCTTTATTTGCAGTTGTAAAATCTATTAATATTTTCGTACAATGAGTACAATGGTCGATACAATCGATCAATACCAAGAATTTTTGCACGCTGGACACTTGCACGTACACCGATCTCTCTCTTTCTCTTCTTATCAAACCGCACCCCTTATACCCCACTTTCTTATCTTGGACCAACCACCCTTTCAAAACTTTACTAACTCCACCTACTCTCCCTCTTAATCCAATTCTTGTGAATATCCGAAAATAGGATAAAAGCCAAATCATTCTATTCATAATGAGAATAAGTAACAAGTGAATAAGTAACAACAAGAATAAGTAACAAGTGAATAAGTAACAACAGAATCAAGTAACAATCAAGTGACAAACCAACTTGACAATCATCAGTGACAATCACCAGCGACAATCACAAGTGTGACAATCGGCAGAACTAGTCAAACATATTACAAGCCGTTTCGTAAAATAATAGTTAAGTAATATTAATATTTTTTAGCGTTAGGTTTTTATTAAAGTGTCAAGTTTGAATAAACAGCACATTAAAAAACTAAAGTGAGTTTTAATCATAAAACACGTTCGTCAAACCAGGCGTCAACACCGTAGATAGAGAAAATTAGAAATGGAAATGTATTAGAAAGAATAGGAGAACAGGGGACTCTATGGACCTTCTCAGGCATGAAGGTCTAGTCAGAGACATATTAGAGGCAGAAACAGGAGTTAAGAGGAGTAAAGGTAGACTTAGATTAAATTACTAATCGCAAATAGTTAAGGATATGGGTTGTTCCAATTTTAGGGAAATGGGAAGTTTAGCTCAGGATAGGAAAGAGGGGAGGTGCGTGTCCAACCAGGCTTAGGACTGACGACCTTATGATCATGATCAGATTAAATGAGCAAAACGAAGACTTAACACACAAAACCAAGACTAAGACTGAGGCTATATCAGCAAGACGAAGACAAAGTCCGATACTAATCAACAGGACCAAGGCCATTACCAACACTAAGACAGTTTTAATCTTGATCTTGCTCTTACTTTGCTCATCATTATTCTATCCTTACATCAACAGTATAAAAATACAGCGAGCGGTCACTATTATTTACCAAAAGAATATGAGTATCTTCAAAGTAAAGATAAATATTATTCGCTTTTTCCGGTCTCGTTACATTAAAGAAAAAGCATCATCATTGCAAACGAACGACGTTTTTCTTAGTTTGTTTACTTTATTAGTGAATGCTTAACATTACCGAATATTCACGCACCCGCCTTGATAAACTTAACAGATACATGAAAATTTCCATTTATTTCAGTAGCAAGAAACATGCAAACTTTTACGCTGAAGTTGTCTCAATCTAATTAAATAATCAAGTAACTTCTACCGCGTTCACAATTTTAATTTGATCAGCGAAATACACTTTGAAAACTTAAATAATGAAACCTAAACAAATTAAACAACTGGCTGTAGTGTGCAAACTGCCAACGGAACTAATTAACAGTTTTTACGTCTATACGTAGCCCTAGTGGAACTGTGAAAAAAGCTTTAGACGTTTTTTTCTATGTCTATATCTGAGTAGAAGTTTGGGAAAGAAAATACATAAAAACAACGTTTTTATTACTTACAACGGAAGAAAGTTACACGCAACGGAAATATACGTGTAAAGGTTTATCTAGAAAGAAACTTTAATGGCTTTGTTCAGGTGTTTTTAATTAAAAAAAAACTACTCCCTAATGAAAGTTGCTGTTAGTTCAACCTGGAACATTTCAAAATTCAGGATTGATTAAGATTAATAACACAAGTAAAGGTTCGTGTTTCAGCAAATACACCGGTTAAGTAACAAAAGTGTGAAGTTATAGTATCTACCCTTTATATTTTCTGTTTGAAGAAAACATTACACCTATCCAGTCTAGTTTCGTTATATCTACTGGGCTATAGGAAACTACCACTAATTAAACGCAAAAAGAGAAATATGAAAATGTATCGTTATCTACTGATCCCTTTTAACAGAAGTACCTGTATAATATGCTAGACAGGGGTTTTAATAAAGTATAATTTTTCTTTTGCGTAATCTTTTCAGCGCAAAAGCTAACATTAAAAATAACAAAGAGAAAATTTGTAATAGTTACGGATTACTCATTTTTAAAACGATCACAAATTAAATGCATTACCTAAATTTACCTACTGCAGACGACCTAAAAAAAACTGTTGCACTAGTACTCTACCACTAAGCTACGAGGAGGTAAAACAGCGTACCGACAGTACAGAGTCGGGAAAACTCGGCTCTTGACTCCCGAGTGCTCCTCAGGTATAGCCACGCAGCTCCTCATTGCTCCTGCGAGTGCGAGTGAGATGATTCTTTCCTTTTTTCTTGTCCCTTCCATAGGTGAGTCCCCTCTTCCATAGCCGAACCCAATAGTATTTCGAACGTAGTCCGACATGCTATCCCTGAGCTGCAGGACGATCATTAGAAAAATTTCGTAGATATTATTTAAGTTGCGAAAGAGGCTTCGCTAGTTTACGGGACGAAGGGGCTTGATATGGGAGTGGAAGGGAGAAGAAAATGAGAATGCAATATGGGTCATTACTGCTTACTCTCTCGTACTCATTGAAGGGTATGGAGGGACCCAAACTATCCTCAGGTTGCGGCTCCTACGAAGTTAATGTGTTCTAGGTAAACATAGTTTGCATTGAATGCATTGAATTTAACCCTATAAAAATTTAAAGCGTTTGATTATAAATTAAAAGTGATATGCAAATAAATCTATACTCGATCGATAAATTATTTTTTTAAGTGTCTATTAGAATTAAGTAAGGACGGAAGGAGTGTAGGGATATAAAGCGGAGGATAGAGGCAAGTCGAGAGACATATTAGTGGCAGAAACGGGAGTTATGGGGGGGTAGAGGTAAGACTAGATTAGATTACTGTTTGCAAATAGTTAAGGATGTAAGTTGTTCTAGTTTTAGTAAAATATGAAGATTAGCACAGGATAAGAAGGAGGGGGTGCGTGTCCAACCAGTCTTAGTATATATATTACAACGAATTTTCCAGTAAGCTTTTCTATTTATTTAAACAGCCCTTGCGTGATACAAATAATTTATTTAATACTGAAACAACTGTATCCAGTTACTCATATGTCACTACGGATTTATATTACTGATAACTTATTTCGTGCTGGAACTGTTTATAACAACTGTTTGTTATTGGCTACTTATATCATGTCAGATCCTGGTCGCTTATTTAGACTGCAACGAAATGCTCCGAAATACGAAAGTTTTCATATTCTTTTCATTGTGCAGTTTTTGTCCGCTACGATTGTTTCCCCCGTTTATCGACTCCCGCTTCCATAAATGAGATGCCGTCGTTATTGATCGCGGCCAGTTGCACTCGTTGATAGCAATATTTAATTTACTTTAGACAAATTTCACAGATTCATACTGTTAAACCATCTTTTTTAACTTTAATTTATTATCGTCATTCATCGTTTGATCATGTATTTTATTAATTACCCATATTTTTTTATTTGTTGTTATGATAAAATCGTACCTGCCTTTCGTATTTTTCAAAGATGAATACCTGAAAGATTATTTTATTACAATTGGTGAGACATTCAATTCAATTTTCAAAAACTACTAACGAAACACCCTGTATCGTATATTGAAACTGCAGGTTTTAAGACAATTTCGTACGAGTAGACGTTTAATTTTGGTAAAAACCGCCTAGGTATATATAATCATGTTGGATCTTTATAAATACCTTTGCAGTATTTATTTGACAAACAAATCTGTGTAGATCAGACATGTGGTATCATAATGGCGGCCCTTTTTCAGCTAGTCCTTATTATTCTCAACAAGCCATTGAAAAAGAAATTGAGCTGGCGTGACCTTCCAGAAGACATTTCCTTTCTTTGAGCTTTTCTGTGATGATAAAAATTTCAGGAACATATTCCGGAAACTCTTAACGGGGCCTTTCAATTTTATTGCTAGCGACCTTCTGCGAACCGTCAGCTAACGCCCTTGGGCAACATGAAATTGTATTGAAAATACGTGACCACGTCTTTATTCTGACGGCGCCCACATTACGTTCCTCCACGCAAACCGAAATAACATCAAAATAATATTTATTTAAATCTGCCTGCCTTCTTCTGAGATTACGACAACGTATTTAGTTTTATTTAGAAAGCAATTGTAATTTGCTTCTTTACAGTAAAATTGCTACATTGTTATTATTTCATTATCTATTAACGCTGCTAGCTTTTTATAGAAATGTCTTTATAAAGTTAAAATGAGTCATGCAAAACTAACGTGAAAACCCGCGGTTTCCTTATTCGCGTTTTCATTATTCGCGGGCGAAAAAATTGCAACCCAGTTCCTGTATTCGCGGTTTAATTTCATTATATGGGGTTGCAATCGGTAAACGGAAAAGGATTCGGTGCCATTTATTAAGGGGATTGACCGCAATAGACCGCTCGTGCCTAGTGTGAATTTTTCCGAAAACATGGGTTTCTATTTTAAACATTGTAATTTAACGCTGCGAGATAAATGTCTAATTTTTTGTATGGTAACAGACAAAATTTCACACTAACTCGGTACGTTTTTGGTTTCCATTAATATGGTCATTAAAAGTTTTTACAAGTTCTTAAAATTGATGTTTCTTGTAGGACACGTATTTTCAATAGAAATTAAAAAATTAAGAAATGCCCTTCGACAAGCTTTAGAACAACGTTGTATCTATCTTACTACAAAATTTCAAACCTCTGTTTTAAATATTAAACTTATGATATCTAGAACCGATATGCATATTTTTACTCCATGGCGCGTGTATCACTGAATCCCCTTAATGTATCAGCATCTTTTGAATAGAAAAGGATTCCGTGTTATTTTTCAACTTATCAGCATCTTTTGAGTACTATTAACTCGTGTCGAGACGACTTTTATAAAAGATGTAACCGAGTGGACTAATTTCAAAATTTAAAACAAAAAAATATCACTAAATTTTTTAAACTCTTGCCTAATGTTGATTATAACGATTCATTTTAATTGCGAATTTATCAATACATTGATTTTATTTTGATACATATTGATGGAACGTATACCCCACTAATAAAGAGCTTTTATTGTACTATATCTCCTCTTTTACTTCTTTTGTCATCATTTTCCATCCCAGCACCTTCACATTCCTTTCAGCAAATATTTATAACCCTACAGCCCTTATTTCTTATTCTACGGTTTTTTTCATAGGGGTAAAAATCTGGAGGTATTAGAAAGAGTAGGAGAAGAGAGCAGTATGGAAGTCAATAACAAATAAACGAGTAGTTGATGGGATACCTTTTTAATCATCAAAGGCTAGTTAGAGACATATTAGAAGCAGAAACAGGAGAAAGTGGAATAGAGATATAGCTACATTAGATTAATATTCACAAATAGTTAAACATATGGGAAGTTGTAGTTTTAGGGACAAGCGAAAATTAGCTCAGTATATTAATGATTGGAGGTGTCCAGGACTGACGACCCTATGATGATCAATTTTTCTTTAATTTTGTTGCAAAAATAAGAACAGTACTAACTGCAAGCCTCATTTTGTTATTAATTAAGTAATTAAGTCCATTATTATCGTGTGGATCCAAAGGTGACTAACTGTTAGTCTAATTGAAAAATACGGAAACAGCAAAAATGTGTCATTATTCGATATTGATTTGAGAATTTTCAGTTTTTTTTCCCGAAATAATTTATTAAATTTCATTTTTTCATGTTTTGTACCTTACATTTGCAGAAAATACCACAAATGGCGTGGTAAGCGCCATCTGCAGTACGATGCTACATTTTAGGATTACGTATGCTCCAGCAAGGTCCATTTAAAAATATGGATATCTACTTGCTGAAACGAATCCCGGCGTAGCTTACCTTAACGTGATAGGCACGTTACCATAATCGAACAAAATAAATCGAAGTGGTCTGTATTCTGTCGAAACTGCCAGACGCGGACAGCGATTTCGATCTTTTTGGATCTCAGTAATTCTAATGGACGGGCAATCCCTCCGGACTTTTTGGATCTCATCAGCACGTCGGAGCTGCCTGCGACGCGCTGATGAGATTAAAAAAAATTGAAATAGCGATCCGCGTCTGACAGTTTCGATAGAATACAGACCACTACGAATTATTTTGTTCGATTATGGTAACGTGCCTATCACGTTGAGGTGAGCTACGCCGGGATTCGTTTCAGCAAGTAGATATCCATATTTTTAAATGGACCTTACTGAAGCATACGTAATCCTAAAATGTAGCATCGTACTACAGATGGCGCTCACCACGCCATTTGTGGTATTTTCTAAAACGCGCTGTTAAGACAGCAGGTAAAGGTTGGTCTGTGTTCTGTCGGAGCTACCGGCGACGCGCTGATGAGATCCAAAAAGATCGAAATCGCGATCCGCGTCTGGCAGTTTCGGCAGAATACAGACCACTTGGAATTATTTTGTTCGTAAATTTGCAGATATAAAGGTGACACTAGTAGTGTAGTTTGTTTTGTTCCTTAAGCACCATCAGTAGGTTTTTTTAGATTATACTATAACCCCATGCACGTATAACAGTTAGTGACGTCCGGATCAGATTTGATCCACTCTACTGATTCGGATCTTTAAAAATAATGAAATAAACTTCTATGAATTACGATTCGGAAATCTCAGTCGGACCAGTAAAATCCACAGTACCGTGAACCGACGAACTATTGCGAATTTGATTTTTGTCGAAGCAAGAGCAGTTCTATGTTCGAAATCCAAATAAATAACTGTCTGTAGTTGCCGAATGTTAAGACCATTGCTTAGCATTCGATTCTGGTTCGATTCCAGGTCCGTCTGCCTTGGTCCAAGTTTTTCTGTGGTTTCCTTGGATAACTTAGGCATATGCTGGGGCAGTAATATTCCGCAGATAATCTTTCATTCTCTTCTGTCTTCATTTCGTCCTTCTCAACTTTCTCACCTGAACCACCACCCACCCATTCCCACGATTCCTGAAAGCAGACTGAAGAGGGCCTTCCGTCCTACCTTCCCGCATAGTCCGCCCATTAGCATTACTGGCTGGTGGGAATGAAACACCCAAAAGTTTTTTTCTTGCCGGATTCTCATTGTTTGTTTAACAGATCAGAGTCGATCTCGATCCTATTGAATGCAGAGGCAGCTATATAATCGAGTCATGCAGATACAAAATTTACTGGGATTCAGGAACCATAGTATGATCCGAATCTTTTACCCCACTCTCCCAAAAGAACCGAATTTCCAATCACTAGTGATTTGATAACACAAATATAAAAGAATGTTTTTTCTCGTAGCTGTTAACTGAGAAAGGGGTTATGCAAGAGACTATTTATAGTCTCCAAAGCCAAATATCCAAATTATTTACGGATGCGGAAGAATCAAAGAAATGTGTTCAGGTAAACAGAATATCGCTTCACACGCCAACACCCTGTCTCATTAAAATATTTATTTCAGATGTATAAAGAAAAATACGACGAGGTGTTGAAGGAAAAAGAGATGCTCCAGCAAGATTTTACTCAATCGAAAGGATCCATATTGGGTCTTGAAACTGCAACATCGAAACTATGCGAAGTGAACAAGGACATAACAGCAATGTATGAGAATTTAGTAAAAGGTAGAATCTTCAGAAATCATCTAATCATAAGTTCATTGTATTTTTCGCAGTCATCAAATCACATTAGATGTTTCTAATCAATTTTTCTTCATGCCCATGTTGCCCATCATTGCCTGAAGTAATTTGTATGTGAAATGATACTCTTATAAATGTTTTATGTTTTAAAGTACATCGATCTTTGTTTTACTTTTACTGAATGCTATTATTATTACAGCAATTAAAGTCGATCTTTTTATTTGCATGTATTTATGCTCCTCGGAATTTGCAGGTTTACTGTTTACTTTCTTCTTTCTTCTACGAAATTCCTTTGATCTGACCATGTACACTCTTAGATTCAACCTAAGCGTACATATAGCCACAAAACTAATGAAATGCTGTTGCTTTGAATATTTCACGTAGTCGTTTGCCAATCTCTATAATTGTTTTCTTAATTTCTTTGCACTTTATCCCCAACATCTGATGCTGGTGGTCGAACAATCTCACCTACCTACAATGTGGTGCAGAGTAGTGGGTAGACCCATTTCAGCCTCTTTTAAGAAATTTGGGATCAAATGGGTTGTCCCTAGTGGTTATGTTAAAAAGGGCAAAAGGACGGGATGACGACAATATTTCAGTGACAATAATAACTTTGAAATATTATTGCCAATCCGATCTACAAACACTACAGGAAAATTTTGACCTAGGATCGAAACGATTTTCTTCAGAATATTAAACAGTATTCCAATTACTGAAACACGCCGTTCAGTTCAATTTTCATAGCGACTGTATTGTTGTTGTAGTAGGGTTTTAACTATGAATAGACTTTTTAATGATCGAACATCCCACGTTCTTAACTACTTGTGAACAATCTTCTTAACTCCTGTTTCTGCTTTATAATATGTCTCTAGTTATCCCTTCATGCCTGAGAAGGTGTCCTACCAACCTATCCCGCCTATTTCTTATTAACTTCCATAGAGTCGTCTGTTCTCTTATTCTTTCTAATACCTCTTCATTTCTAACCTTCTCTATCCACGCTATCCACATTCTAATTTCTCTACTTGCCTCATTGTTCTAACATTCCACGCTCCGACTCGTGAAATATTGCATCTTCCCCTATTGCACTTGAAGACATCATGGGGAACTATTTTACGTCCGGAGTACTTAAAGATAAGATAATTTAAAGTTACAGTATGTTTGACAATTCGAATTCATGATATGACGCTTCTCCAGTTCCTCTTGCCCATGTTACATCACTTTTAAAGCGTAGTGTAGATGTTGGGCGCAAACATTTGAGATGTATTACAGGAGGATGACAAAAATGTCGTAGATAGACGGAATTGAAAATGTAGTATTGAAAAAGGTACTAGCACAGATGCACTATTCGTTATAGATCGTTAGAAACGTAGTAGAAGTAAAAACAGAAGTACCGAGGGGCAAAGGAAACCTAGATTAGATTACTGTTAGTAAACAAAGTAAAAAGTAAGCAGCATTCGCTGTTTATCGATCGTAAAGAAAATCAATGAGTAAAACTTCCGTTGGGTCAACAAAAATCGTTGCAAGAACTTTTCTGGCTAAGAGATGAGTTTTGGCAGAGGCCGAAAAGTCTTCATCCTACCGCCGTTACTCCATACTCGCCATTTTCGATTCTGGATTGTAATGATGGACCCACATATATCGCATGTGACGATGCGCCTTTTTGTCGAAATTGATTCAGTTTCTCAATAATCTCCAATTTGACTTGCTTTTCATTTTATGTCAACAATATCGGGACCCATGAAGTACTAATTTTTCCTTTTCCGAGTCAAGATAAGTGATAATGGATTGCGCATTGTCGTGACTGATATCGCTTCTGATGAGATTTCAGTCAACCGACGATCACGTTCAAAGTTCTCGAACGATGAGGTTGTTGTGATCTGTAAAAGTTGTCCTTCGGCATCGATCATGACATTCATTTTCGACACATTCTTGTCCACCCTTATCTCTGGCACATGTGTAAACTCGATTTTGAGACAGTATCCCAAAATTGTGCTTTTACTCAAATAAAAATTTCCGAAGGTTTAACGCCTGTAAGCAGAATATAATAAGCTGTATGTTAGTTTTTCTATTTCGTGGAAAAGGGAAAATCTTTAAAAGACTTCCAACCGTCCGTACGACTGGATAGTGTTGTGCCCCTTCTGAGGAATACCTACCATCTAAAACCTCAGCACCCAGCCGTTTTGGAATCAATTACCTACGCAGGATAACAAAATTACCATTTATATTTGAGTCACCTTCCTTAGAAGGGATGTGAGATATTCTAGTTTAAGGGAAATGCGAAGATTAACTTAGGATATGAAGGGATGGGAATACGTGTCCCCAGGCAGTTGTCGGACCTTCTTTGCTGGGTCATCGACAGACGCCGACTAGCCGTGGAATAAAGGTGGCTTCCCATGGCCCGCATTAGCGCAGGTCAGACTTTGCGCTGCGAACAGGAACGGATTAAGCTTGATTGCGCTTGAACTCTTCCCACGATTTATATGAGCCTGTCTTCATTAGTTTAAAACTAGGGTTCAATATTATTAAGATAAAGCGTAAAGAAAAAAGAATGGCAGTTGCTGCCGCAGCCTCTGTTTTAGTGGTTCATATTTACTCAACAAGAGAAAGAAGAACTAAAGGCGGTGGTGATTAAATAAAAGCCGATTAAGGTAAAGTTTTATTTACTAAATTTTCAGTGAAGTACAAGCAATAGATATTTCCGTGCATTATTTATTCCTTCTAATGATTTCACGTTTAGGAAAAAGAAATTATATTATTATCTTTTCTTTGAGTTCGGAAGTAACATACTATCCGCACAAGCGTCTTTCTGAATCACAGATGTCAACAGACGCCGACAAATTGCGACAAGTCAGGTCAGGCTACGCTTATGAAGTTTCTGATTCGCGACGGATGGAACGCTCCATCACGGATCTTCTCGCGTTTTCGGACAGCACCCTCCCCATGGCGTGTAGGTGCGAGCTGGCGCGGCCCGGCCTGCAATATCGCAGCCCGTGGGAAGGCACCTTAACGGAGACATACTCAATGTTTTTTAAACGAAATAATACTTTGACGGTTGTCTCACTGGCGACTGCTGACCGTCAACTTACGGATTGTGTGAATCAAGCTTTATGATTCCAGTGAACTTCAGGCAATGAGTTGAATTTTATTAATTTTCTCAAACTTGGTTTTTCAACCATGTGAATTACTAAATAAACAAGTTGTTTTGTTTGGTTAGCTTCTCATATTTTATATTTAACTGAACCATGGCAATAAATGATACAAGTATTTATTATTCTATAGTTAACTGACTTTCCTTACAATATTTACATAGATTACGAAAACAGCAAGGAGCAGAACGAAAAAATTAAAGCAGAATTAACAAATGAAGTCAGAGAACTGACTTGTAAGTTAGAAGAGAAAGATAAATCTGCTGAAGAATTGAAATTGGTAAATATTATTATCTTTAATTATCTGTAAATATTACACTTTAGCGATTATCCTTTCCGTGAATATTCATTTGATTTATTTTTACAAACATCGCTACAAAGTCGTTAAAAGAAAAGGATATGGAAATTAAAATACTTGAAAAACAAAAAAGTGAATTGTCAACGCAACTTACTGAAGCTAAAACCACCAAATCAAACTCTTTCCATTTAACAAAAAGGTTTGTTGATCATCAATGATTAAAATACGATCTATATATCTACTAAAAACTAAACGTTTTAGTTGTCAAACAGACAATAACGAAAAAAATGCTGGGTTAGATGTACGAGCGGAATTAAGTAAAGTTAAAAAGGAGTACTCGTTAAGCAAAAAGAATATTTCAGAAATGCACTCAGAACTCGGAAACTTACAAGAGCAAGTGGAGAAGTTGAAGCTTGAAAAGTTGAATGAACTGCGTATATATAAGTGTCATATGGAAAAAGTGATAAAGTGAGTATATATTTTTAGAATAAATAGAAAATACCCAACAGGTCGGTCATTTGGAACACACTAGTTACTCCAACTGTAGGTGTTTTTATTCTTCCTCTAATATGCCTCTGACTAGACCTTCAAATCTTCATGCTTGATTCGACGGGACTTGAACCATGACGAAACTCTTGTACAAATTAGAGTGGGTAGATCGGCTTGTGAGTTTCGATGATTTAGGGAGCCGGACCATAGGTTCAACCATAATGGGGGGGAGGGGTTCTTAAAGAGAAACCAGACTAAGGCAAATCCCTAAAGGAGGGTAGCAGCTCTTTCACTACTCAGGGCGGTAGAGATCACGAGGATCGGTATGGCACTCTGATGTAGAATACTGCGATGTGGAAGGCAACGGGAACCACCAAATTATGATATCCCATGAAAAACAAACCGAACTCAAACGATGGCGTCCTCCGCTAGCTCAGGATAGGAAAGAGTCGAGGTGCGTGTCCAACTTGTCTTAGAGCTGACGACCTTATGATGATGATAGACCTTCACGCCTGAGAAGGTGTCCTACCAACCTATCCCGCTTATTTTTTATTGACTTCCATAGAGTCCTCTATTCTTCGATTCTTTTTAATACCTCTTCATTTCTAACCTATATCCACGCTATCCTCATTCACCTGTAACACTACATTTCTAACGCTTCTAACCTTTTCTTTTCCGCCGCGCCCACTCTCCATGTTTCGCACCCGTACAATGCAAAATGCGCTCCAAACATACACCTTTAACAATCTTTTTCGAATTTCTAAATTAATCGTTCGCGAACACAGAAGTGATTTTTAATAATCCCACTCTTTGGTCTAACGACTTTGTAAGGGCCCCTACAACATTTTCGCAAGCTGAAAATGTATTCAATAGACGACACTGACGGATAGGCTATGAACTGAGTCCGAAGATTGGAATGGCGGGTTTGAAGGTCAAATAAAGGCTCACTAGCAATAAGAGCGCAGGACAGATAATCAGACTTAAAAATTTCGAGATTAAAATCCAATTGCAAATGGTGTAACGTATGTGTATGGGTCAGTTTTTATACAAATGGTCAATCAAACTCCACTAGAAGACAACCATTCCGATCAGTAACCATAAACTTAAAGTTAATGGGACCTAAAGAACAACATGGAAATGGTATTAAACATTTGACTTTTACAAAGGTTATAGTAATAAAACAAATAAAGTTATAAAACTTTAGATATCTAGTTAAAATGAAACATCAGACGTAAAGGGGTAAATATTTACGTCACGATCGATCTCAAGCAATCTTAACGAGCATGCAGAATCAACACCCTTGTTCAAGCTCAATAACCATGACAGACTCAACCTTTTGGGTATTTTTCACCTGGAAAAGTTGTACCAGTTTTACCATTTCCAGTAAACTTAAAACAAGAATAAATCAGTCCATTAATTATTTGGCACGCGATTAATTTTTACAGAATTTTGATATATTTCATTTATTCCAAAGCAAATAATATATTTTAGATATAATGAAGACGAGAAGACGAGCCTGCTAAACGAAATTGAAAATTTAACGAAACAAGTAGAAGTTTTACATTTGAAACTATTAAATGAAAAGCAGTCACATGATGAATTATCTAAAGTACACAAGGAATTGGCCGAAAAACTTCTAAGAGCAGTAAGACTTCTAATCGATGAGAAGCTAGCGCGGCAAGCAACTGAATCGAAAGTTGTGGAATTGTCGCAAAAAATGTTAACGTTACAGTCAGATAAGGTAAATAATTTGAAATCTTTCCTGATTGTAGTTAGGTTGGCATACGGACCACGAAATAATACAGGGACGGAGTGTAAACTAGAGGGTGGAAGAATAAACACGGGATAAGGATTCTTGCTTGTTTAAATGTTTAATTGTTTAAATTCGATTGGCCTCTTGGGACGAATTTCAGTAACATTAATAAGATTTTATTCAGTTTAAACTTAAATTAAAGATATTTTTGGATTAAATAAAAAGTTCAAAAGCCTTTCGAAATCATTTCTACAAACTTAGTTCGAAACGAACCTTCCAGTCTTTAAACCAAAATAAGATTCAACTTTTAGAATGAGGTCTTCAAACCAATTTACCTTCTCAAAAACCCCATTTAGAGGTATTTATTTCCAGTACTTATTGAAAGCATGGAGTGAGCGCGATTGGGTTTTACTATACCTTGGTAACTGTCATTTAAATTTAATAAAATTAAAATACTCCCAAAAAAAACTAAAAAATAATGTCGTCAGGAAATGCATTCAAAGGTATTTTAAATTTTGAGTAAAAGCTTCAGATAAACGTTTTTCTTTTTCAAGCTCAAAATAACTAACAGGTTGATCTAATCAGCTCAGGTTCTTTTCTTTTTACTGCTTGCAAAATCTGGGTTCTAACATTTATACCTATTTTATTTATTAATAATTTTTGCTTACAGCAATTAATCGAACAGAAAGCGCAGTCTATTACAAACGAATTTTCATGCTTAAAAGGAAACGTTGATGAACTAACGAAGGACAAAAGATCATTACAAGAGGTTATCTCGAAATTACAGNCGATTCCCGAAGGGGGTGTGACAACAGCAACAATTTTTCCCTCATTAATTTGAGGTAGTTTGTAGTGGGTAAATAAAAAATCGAAAAAATGATTTCAAATTAATATTGCATTATCAGTGAATTAGCACTAATTGTGACTAACAAGACATGCCCAATTACCTTGAATTCCATTTCCATCCAACAACAAGTAAACAGCCAAACAATATTGTTTATTTAAAAACAGTACCTACACTTAAATTTTAAATAGAGACCTATACGTTTGCGGTCGTTTTGGTCGCGTTTGCTAAAGCCAAATTATTATACCAAACAGACAATTTGAAACAACATCTCTCAATAATACCCAAATTAAGCCAATATATCGTTATCTGATGAGTATTTACTCCTACTGAAGTGTTTCAAGCGTTACACAAGAATTCACTAGCGTATTTCAAAGTCTCTAATATATCTTAGTAAAGCCTTGTCCAACGCTTGAAATACTTCAGTAACAGTAAATACCCACCTGATGGCGACACCCTACCTTTATTTGAATATTACATAACCTCACTCTTCTATTTGGTGAAGTGAACTTATCGAGACTACCTACGGTACTTTACAAGAGTTCTTATCGTAAAATAATTTGATATGATTTAGAGAGACCCAAAACCAAACGTATTTTCAAAATCAATTTTTCTTGTTTTATGATATAAATCCACAAATTCTGTATCTTGAAACAGATGTTCTATTATTATTTAGTAGAATAAAGTCTCGCCTACTAACCTTGAGAAGTATTAATTTCCTGTCCCGTCTCTAATTGTAGGACAACCTTATCGACACGCTGAAAAGGAATATGGAGAAATGCCAAAATCTAGTGTTGGAATATAAGCAGCAAATTGCAAGCCTGGAGAAAAAAATAACTAAATTAGAGTTTCAAAGGTGATTACTTCAGACATTGTCATTAAACACTACTCAGTTTAAGGGTCCCAATTAATAATTTATTTTCATTTAAAAAATTATCAAATGGGCTGACTGATACTGGTGGCGAAAGGCTCATAGGAGAATANTACATATTACTATTTGAAAATATTTTTTTATCCCATAAGCACGAATTATCGTACGTTTAATAGAAATTTGAATTACGATATCGTACATCGTATTTGAAGCAAAATTATCGTATGTCCCCATAATTATCGTACAGGCTGGCAACGCTGAACTAATACCTACTTGTGAACACAGATGAGTAGACAGGAACCATCCCCAACATCTGCCTGCGAATGTTAATGAATCTGTGCAAATAAAAAATCAACAAACCCCCACTTGTTTTATATATAGATTGTTGCAGACATAGTAAAATGTCTTTAATAAATACAACGACTGTTTCCCAAACATTTCCACACAATTTTATTAACATGTGTGGGGATTAGTTAACTAGCCGCATTCGACTCTTTTTAAGTAGATTTTTGAATTTCTTTAAACTATATGCAATACCACTTCTACTTTATTTATTTGTATAATGTATTACAATTTCAGATTCGAAAATTGAAACTGAAAGTTAAAGATGCTTCAAGTGCTGTACTTACCAGCAGTTTTGATGAGGTTGATCTAATCAGCTCAGGTTCTTTTCTTTTTACTGCTTGCAAAATCTGGGTTCTAACATTTATACCTATTTTATTTATTAATAATTTTTGCTTACAGCAATTAATCGAACAGAAAGCGCAGTCTATTACAAACGAATTTTCATGCTTAAAAGGAAACGTTGATGAACTAACGAAGGACAAAAGATCATTACAAGAGGTTATCTCGAAATTACAGAAAAATTTCAAAAAAGCTGAAGGTCGTTCCTTCAAGCTTGAACAAAAGGTATATCTTCACTGTCTATTATTTGAGATTGATACAGTCTCAAAACAATTGACTCAGAAGACGATTATTTTACATATCTTGACTTCCTTTTCTTTAAACGTCTTTTTCTTCAAGAGCGTTAAGGATTATTATATGGCATTATCATTACTTTATCTGTTGCACCCCTGAATAAATCCGCGTCAGAGCTTATTCCATACCAAGGGCTAATGTTTTTGAGCGACGTTTTACTACAACTAGGATCACGTTTTTCTACTATTTTTCCTCGAAGTAGGTCATATTTCTGATTTCTCAATGCATGGCGGAACTATTCCAGTTCCCTTATTTTAATTATAAGGCTCTCTTTTTCTTCATTCATACAATTTATTAGTTACTGTATTTTCTTAGATGATGTTCAGTTTTTGTTCTATTCCAGCCTCTTGAAATAAGTCCATTTTTTTATTCACTCAGTATCCTAAATTTTTGTAACATTATACTCTTCCACTACATGAAACCTATCTTGACTTTTATTTATGACTATCCGTTTGGTTTTCTTTAACGTAAACCCATCAATTGGTCGTAAACCATCATGCGAGTGTTTGTAAGTAATATTTACTTGCTCTTAGTAAGACTGTGTTGTCCTATAGCAAGTTAAATAACAAGCGAGAGATCATACACCTCCATCGAATTCCTCCCATTGTAAGTATTTCTATACTTTTTTTCAGTCAGGTCTTGGTTATAATTAAATTTTTTTCCGAAACAGGCATACGTGTACGTCAACGTCCACATCGGGACACCTTTGTACCGATATCAAAATGCCACACATTTTGTTACTATAGAAATAAACATACACCGGGGTTTAATCATACAATATGACAGACTTACAAAATAAAATACAGCAAGTGAGGGTTTTCTTCTTCTGTTCGTAACACTTGAATCGCTAGTAACTAATATAGCGTTGCCAGATTCAGTAGATAGAATTATCGCACTCTTTAGGAAAAATTGTCGTATTAACATCAAAAATATCGTACGTTATTGCGCATGAGCATCGGAGTAATAGTCTAGTGGTAGGAGTTGAANTTCCTGTCCCGTCTCTAATTGTAGGACAACCTTATCGACACGCTGAAAAGGAATATGGAGAAATGCCAAAATCTAGTGTTGGAATATAAGCAGCAAATTGCAAGCCTGGAGAAAAAAATAACTAAATTAGAGTTTCAAAGGTGATTACTTCAGACATTGTCATTAAACACTACTCAGTTTAAGGGTCCCAATTAATAATTTATTTTCATTTAAAAAATTATCAAATGGGCTGACTGATACTGGTGGCGAAAGGCTCATAGGAGAATATACAAAAATATCCGTTAGAACCTTTTTTTCAAGAAATTAAGAGCAATTCAGACAAACATAAATAGAACTCTCAGAAAGACTAAAGAAATTCTACTCTCTGCATGTATAGTTTTGGAAACTTTAAAATTATGCAATGAATACTAGGATGGATACCTTTTTGTTACTAATGCAAAATATCCAAAAGTATAAAATAAGTAATCATTTTTATCTGAAACAGTGATGTTGTTTTAATGTCTATCTACTAAATAATGAAGTAGAGAATAACAACATCTTATATTGAATAGATGACGCAACTGTTTTAGTTCGCAAAAAAAATTTATTGTATCTTTAAGTGGAAGAGTAATCTTCCACGTGACCTGAAGAAGGCACTGTGATGTAAAATCTGAGAGAGTCAACATTAGAGAAGCGACATCGCTGTCTCCCTCAAAGTCTCACCTACAATTTCCTACGTAGCAACTTCACGCCACTAAAGCTGTTAAACCCACAATTCCATACAAATATATTTTTCATAAACTGAGGGACGGCTACTCACAAACTGACATTAACCTTCATCATCATCACCATGAAGTCGTCGGTTCTAAGACTGGTTGGATACGCACCTCCACTCTTTTCTATCCTAAGTTAATCTTCGAATTTTTCTAAAACTAAAACATTCCACATTCTTAACTATTTGTGATTAATCCACTATAGGTCTACCTCAACTCGTCTTAACTCTTGTTTCTGCTTTTAATATGTTTCTAACTAGCCCTTCATGCTTGATTTCCACAACTCCCTCTGTTCTCCCACTCTTATTCTAATACCCCTTCATTAACCTTAAAAATTATACATCTATTGTATAAGTATAATGAAAGAATTAAAGAAAAAAGGGAATTATTATATTAAATATTGTATGATATTATGTGAAGACACGAGGTGATGCAGTTCTAAATGAAAGCGCCACTGGTTACTCGATAATTTTATTGGTTTAGTTTTAGAATTCGTAGGAAAGTTAAAGATGCTTCAAGTGCTGTACTTACCAGCAGTTTTGATGAGAAAATAAATACATTAGGATTAAGCAAGGTACCTAGCTATACGTATAAAATACTTGTTGTTAGATGTACAAATACCTGTCCCAGTGAAATTAAGCCCACTTACGAAAATATATTCCTTTTTGGAAATCTAGCATAATAATTGTTTATTAATTTGTAACCTATCAAACTATTTTAATTAATAGAAAGAACAAAATCTTGAACAAACATTTAATATGTTAACATTATCAGTGAATATATGTAATCGTATGACATTGTTAGTTACTTTATTTTATTTAATATGCAATATTAATTTGAAATCATTTTTTCGATTTTTTATTTACACACTACAAACTACCTCAAATTAATAAGGGAAAAATTGTTGCTGTTGTCACACCCCCGCCGGGAATCGAA